TCAGAACTTCCTGCTCTTGACCTTCATTTACCAGAGACATCAGGCGGTATTGGGTGAGACCTGGGTCTTACCCTGCACTTTCTGATCCTGCCCCTGTCCTACTGCTCCATACTCGTGTATGCGTGTGCTGAATCATTTCACACTCACAGAAGAGAGTTTCTGCTGTGAAAAGGACCCCTGGATTGGTGACATACCTGCTGCTGCTTATCCTTGTACTCACGTCCCTGTAGCCCCTCAGCCTACTGGTAAGGCTGTCCGTTCTTATATACTGCACTCCCACGGATGCTCCCAGATCTGTGCCGAGTGCAGGCCTTTCCCGTCTGCCTAACCCCTGCATGGAGATGGGGAGACGCTGTACTCCCAGGAAAACCTGAGCTCCGGCGAGGCCTTGCAGGTCTTGCAAGGTTCCAAAGCAAGTCCTCAGAATCAGCACCCTCTCCTCAGGCCATCTCCTCCCTTTGTAACTGACCACATGCTCACAGGGCTCCCCGGACTCCCTTCTCACATCAGCGTCCACACCATCCTTTTCCACTGCCTGCCCTGGGGAATGCCAACGGTCGTTGGCATTTACACTTGAAACACTCACTCATGCTCAGACTGATATGTGTACTTGGTGCCTCCCTGGTACCGGGCGCAGACCTGGGTGCACTGCTGGGTGTGAAAGGTGAAGAAGGTGTGTGTGATCCTGCCTCTCTTAGGTCAGGAGGACTAGAGGAACAGCACCGAGCGTTCCTGTGCCTGTGGGCACGCTGTACGCATGAAACTGTTCTGAGGCCAGCAAAGGATATGCAGGACACGGTGACCCTAAAGGCACAGGAACAAGGTGCTTGCAGTACGTAGACAGCACGTGCGGGCTGGGCAGGACCTGGGCGGAAGCCAGCCTCCAGACTCTGCAGGGGCAGCAAGTGCCTGAGGGGGCCAGAGACGCCCCCGCTTGCAGCTGCTGTGGGCTAAGGGCTGCGGAGCCCTGTCCTGGGTGGAACTTTCATCTGCTCTCACTCGCTGTGTTAGTGGATGGGATAGAGAGAAGCAGCCACAGGATGTACGTGTGAACAGCGCATGCACAAAGACACACACGCATGTAAAGTGTATATAGCATGCATGCACAGTATAAACACACATCCATGCATATATGTTGTATATATACGTATACACATATATACTACATGTAAACAACTACAGATGCAAATATAGTCATAACATGTATATTCTACACACACACGTTATATGTACACATACATACACATGCATAAATTGCATGATCATCCACTCAAATGTATATCATACACACACATACATTATACATGCATACATTAGCACCACACTCTCTTATCTGTGTGAGATAATTTCTGAGACCTCTGGCTAAACTCTGAAATGGGGGGGTAGTGGGAATTCTCTGTGGGGGTCAAGGAAGCAAGCGATGGGGGAACCCCAAGAAGGTACATAGGAGAAAGAGGGGCTCCCATGGGTGGGATCAGGTTATATGTTCCTGCCAGTACAGACCATGGCCCAGGGCCCAGACATGGAGGGAAAAGCATGTGCCTTGGGCTGGGCCTGGCTTCTATCTGTGATGGTCCTCCCTACAGGCCATCAGTGGTCTGTTCTCAACTCAGAAACGGTGATTCTTCTCAGCCCACCTAATGCTCAACAATTCAGACGAGTCCTTTAAAAATACGAGCAGCCATGTACTGAGCATATCCTGGGGACCTGACACAGGAGAGCAATGTCTGCCATCCTATAGCAGGTCTGCCACATGCAGGTCTGTGTTCAGAGGCAATGACATCAACACAGGCCACGTGCCAGCACCCAGCAAGCCACACCTGGGTCTCGATCTTGCAGTGCCACACAGGCCCCTCCTGGGAAAGCGGGCTCTGACAAGTTCCTTCCCCACCTTCTTTTCCTCTGCCACCTCCCTCCCCTGCACCTCCACGCGCCCCTGAGATTGTCACCTTGAGGTCAGCAGTGAGGCCACCTTCCACCTGTCCCGCGTGCTAGTCCTTCACCCTGCTCACATGCAGCCTACCCTTCTCCCTGACATGGTGTAGTTTGTGCACTGGCTTTCCTGAAGCAGCAATTGCGTGTATTTATGACAAAAAATAATCAGGCCGGACTATCCGAAGGGTAATGTCCAGCACCTGTCCACATTCCTCATGAATGTCGACAACAGCATCCAAGAATAAGACTCACTTCTGAAGGCGAAGTTGGTGCCACCAGACCAGCCCAAAAGGAAGGAATGGCTGTGTCCAGGTAAGACACGTTGTCTCCAGTCCGTCTTTCAGCTGTGCTGGCCCCTGTGATCCCTCATGACACAAACGTTACATACGTCATAAATGTAATTCCACAGAGCTGTGCAAGAGGTAAACAAAGCACAAGTGAAAAGAGGGAAGCTGAAGTAGCCGATGCCATGGTGGCTCCAGGTGATGGTGTAGCTAGGGCCCTTACTGGATGCACAATGAGGTATCTTAATATTTTAGACATTGGGAGATTAGAATACAAAGGGAACACTCAGTGTGTGCTGTTATCGTTAGTAACTATGGCCATGAGGGCTTACACCAAGTCACTCAGCCAAGCACCGGTCCCCTGTCCACCTGGCACCAGGCTCTGCTGTAACAGTGAACTCAAACATCACCAAATGTGTCAATGCGCAAATGAGTTGTGTTTTGGCCAGAATGTTTTTGTTTTCTCACAGTATTTGCCCAAAAGCAAACATTCAAAGAATTCGAAGGCCATGGGGTTTATTCCACCTGGGAAGGATGAATGGGAAGAGCCTGAGTGTGGTCTGCAGCCCCTCAGGTCTCTGGCAGGCACCTCCTCCACCACCCCAGCAGCCCCCGCCTCACCTGTGTGGGCTGCCAGTGAATCTGGAGGTGATCGAACCTCACAGGCTTTATGATGGGCATCATTGGCTCTTGCAGCACAAAGTTAACATTTCCTGGGACAAGATGTGCGGATATGTATGAACTGGTTCAGCCATCTCAGATCTGCCATTTGGGTGCTTTTTCAAATGACAAGTACAGGGATCCTATGCATATTTATAAAATCCCCTGTGCAAGCACAACTGTGACAAATGTGAACATTACAAAGATCTAATCAAAATCCTGAGCGAAATTACCATTCATGTCTCAGAAAGTGAAACAGCAGCTTCTAATAGAAACTGTCCATCATAATCCATCCAGAAACGCTTGCCCACAGCAAGCGGCAGCACACAGGATGTGAGTTCAAAGGACCTGCTGACCATGCTACACACACACACTTACTCTGCGTTGCAAACATGTTCCAGATTTTGGCTCGAAGTTTCAAACTCCGAGCATAGACTGATGAGCGGAGGGGCCCTACTGATGGGGCGTGTGGTGACACTGACATGTGGAATCTCTGCACAGCCTGGTCCTGAGGTCTCCAGGGGCTGGGAAGCTCCAGGGAAGCACCGACCCGGTCCTCAGAAATAGCTGCTGCTTGCATCCCTTGCAGTTGTTTAGCCCACAACATGAAGTGTAAGCAAAAACTTCTTCCTCTGAGCTTCTTCATCCTCCACCAAATGGTCAGGATGGAGGAGGGTACTAAACACTCCAGTCAAGGAGCAACAGAGTTCGCCTGAGTTCTCATTCCTCAGAATAAGTCCCCAAAGCAGTGTCCTGCTAAGTTGCATCAAAACGGCCTCGACTGCTAGGATCCCAAACAACTGAGAGCTCTCAGAATAACAAGATGCTGTTGGACAGGGGGTGATCAAAATGTATGGTGAATGTTAAATGAAAAAGGCTTACAGAAAGAGGCATGTTGCTATTGACCTGCACGAAAATACGCTCCCCCTACACTTTAAATACTCGTATCCCATTGTTCTTGCCACTTTCTGAAGCAGCTCTGAAAGTCCTCTTTCATGAGTGTCTTTAGTTGTACTATCACAGCCGCTTCCATGTCCTGAATGAATTCAAAAGGTTTACCTTTCAGGGTCATTTTGACTTTCGGTGCCAGATCTGGTAAATAATATGTATGAAGACACACTGCAATATTTTTATGAGCCTGCCTTTCTCTTGGATGGTCCTTGGCAGGAGAACTGTCTGCATTGCTGATCACACCTTATAAAGGTATGGAAGAGGACTTCCAGACCTGCTTCAGGCAGTGGCAAGACTGATGGGAAAAGCGTGTTTGAAGCCAGGGAAGTATTTTGAAGGAGATGCTGTCATACAGTTCTTAATTTAAATGTTCAATGTGTTTTGATCACCCTCTTAACTCTTGTTATTTGTCCCTAGGCTCTGTCTTTCTGAGGACCATGGCTCCAGCACAAGCTGGATGATCAGACAGTCTCAGTTCAGGAGCCAGAGGCATTAAACTGAGGGCAAACAGGACACTGCTGGATCACCAGCAGAAGTCTTCCTCTAGACAAGGACTTAGGAAGACCAGAGCCGTTGCCCTTCAGCAGCTCCTGCACTGCTCCCGCCTTGTGCCTGTGTGTCTTGTCATCTTTAAGACAGCTCTAGGAAGAGTTTTATTAACATTCTGTAGGTGGGAAATCCTAGCAAACACTGAGGAACCTGCCTGGGACCCAAGAGTAGAGTGGTGAGCGTGTGATGCAACCACAGTGGCTTGGTGCCCGGCTCTCTCAGGCTGCCCGGTGCTGTCTGCTGCTGTGACATGTGGGAAGGAAGGCAGGAAAGTTCCCACAAGCCATCATCATGTTATTTTTATTTCTTTGTTAACCTGCATCTTTTAAACTCTAAAAAGTTTAAGTCCCTTTTTAGCAAAAACCATGACACTGAAGGCAGGTGGCATATCTGTGTCATCATAATTCAGAACCATCTGGGTTACCTTGGCAACGCCAACACTCAATAGGAGGAAAGGCTCAAAGCCTATCAGCAGGCAATGGGGTATGTAGGTCAGAGGTGGGGCTTTGAACTCAGATCCCGGGTGTGCCAATACCAGATGCCCATGTAGCTACATGTGAATAGACCTTCCTTATAGTTTCTTGTGGTTTCCACATCTGCAAAATATTGAGGGTAACGTTCATTTTGCAGGAACTGTATGCCAAGAGGATTAAGTAAAGCAGCAGGTAAGAGGTCTCCAGATGCAGTCGGTAACCCCAGTGTTAAGATGACAGGGGTGATTTTTTTCAGACCCTCGGAACAGATATGTTGGAAAGAGCTCACAGGTAGAGAAACAATACGCCATGCTACAAAGAGAAATTTCACCCAGAGAATCATAACTGTTTATTTTGTTATATTACCCTGGACCCACCGTGGTGGCCCTGACTCTTGGCAGGATGATTTCACAAGGATAATAAGCCATGTTTATAGAGGAGGGCAGAGGATAAAAAACCAAAAGAAAAGAATGAACCAAAGAGTATGAGAACAAATTATGTGCCTGCACTCTATGAGAAGCCCTTAGGTGCTGTCATAATAAGGTGAGTTTCAATTACTTTTTAAAATGTTTTATCTTTTAAAAAAATTCCCCATGAACTTCTCTCCCTGAGTTATTAGTGGTACTTGCCAAGTGGTGTTTACTTTAGCTAGGGGAAGAATAATTTGACCAATGAGAAATATATGTAGGGAGGAAAAATTCCGTCAAATGCCAAATAAAAGATTGGAATGCCACAGACAGTTATTTTGGTTGTACTATTTAGGTCATCAGTGCTATATGTCAAGCATTATATGTCAAGCACACACACAGATTTGGAGCTATGGACACCTAAATACTGTGCTCTTAAATGTTGATTATGTCTTAAATATTCATTATATGCCACCTGGTGCTTCAAAGCTTGAAAATTTCAAACATTTTTATAAGTCAGAAATTATTTTCATGCAGAATATTTTTAACAATGAGCAATAAATCCTTCCTAGTGGATGCCTTTGTCATTCCTAGGAAAGAATTATGATGATTTCCAAACAACACACACCTGGACTTTCAGAGATGTGTGGTCCACTTTCTCTCTCTGGACACTGTCCAAATGCAAGCAAGAAAGGAAATGTTGGTAGCAGAAGTTGTAACAGTAGGATAAAGAGCTGCACACGGGCTTTAACAACTTGTTGTGGGTCCAGGGGTGGCTGTCCCTCCCTCCCAAGGCAATTAATCCACCAGTATGCTTTAAAAAATAGAGGATTAAAGTTTTGTTACTTCTCAAAATAGATTTTACTAGCTGGTAGGAGCCGAGCGTGATGTATCTTGGCTCGGCCTGTGGCAGCAGGGGATGGCTCTGCCTAGACACCAGGAGCTGGCTGGGCTCACCGTCACACTGCTGTGTCCCCTCCTCCAGGATGATGTCCGGGCGAGGGGCACAGCGGGACATGGAGAACTCAGACCTGCCCCCACGTGTCTCCTCAGGTCATTGGCTCAGTCTTACCCATTCATCTGAAGCTGAAATAACGGTTCAACATTGAAGACAGAAATTGAAACTGAAATTTCAACCACATGAGTTTGCTGATCTTAGACACTTAAATCTTTGTGATACAAAAGGAAAAGGACTTCTTGTGTTTGTCAGAGAAATAATGAAGGTGTGAAAAAATACAATTAAATGTACTTTGATTCGGTAGTTCAGCAATGAATCAAACACAGTATCAAATTGAAGAAAACATGTGAACAATGAAAGTAGAAAGACAATATCTAAAGCCTTTCACGGTAACTTGTAAGGGTTAGATTTCAGGCTGTGTTGAGTTGGATACTCAAAGGCAGAGCAGTGAGTAACCAGCTCCTTAAATGATTCCCTTTGTTTTTTGAAGAAATGATGCATTTCCAAATCATCCCCTGACTAAACGGCGTGAAGGTTTGCTACTACTGATGGGTAATTCATCTGAAACATGAGGAGAGGAGGCCATATTGGTCAGGAGGAGGATGTGTGACTTCCCGAGATAACTGGGTTGCTGAGAGAAGGTGAGGGAAGGCTGTCTCCCCTGGAGATGTGGCGCCCTTCCCTCCTCCTTGGACCTTTTTTTTTTTTTTTTTTTGGTTTTTCTCTGGTACTGGGGACCGAACTCACGACCTTGCACTTGCCAGGCAGGCGCTTTGCCGCTGAGCTAAATCCCCAGCTCCCTTCTTGGACCATTTGAAGGTGAAGGTACCAGCAGTGAGGGAGGGGTCCTTCTCCCCGAAGGTGAGGCATCCCTTCTCTATGTGAGGTGAGAGATCCCTTCTCTACTCTATGTGAGGCACTCTTCTCCGTCTGAGGTGAGGTACCCCTTCTTGACCTGAGGTGAGGGGCCCCTTTTCTACTTGAAGGGAACTACCCTTCTCCCCCTGAGGCTCTGCTTCTCTGCCGGAGTTGTCTCTTCTCCACCTAAGATGGGGGTCCCGCTTCTCCTGAGGTCAGGCGTACTTCCCGCCCTGGCAGTGTGGTGTTGTTTCACAGGCTGTTTCACAGGCTGCTCTTCATTCTAAGGGGCCTTTTAGTTGCCCCCTGAAGACCTGGTCTCTCTCATCTATCAGATCAGTGCAGCTGGTGACCCTGTCCTTGACCTATGGCCACCTCCCTTCTCACCTTCCTTCCCCTGGCTGTCCACTGCATAGACTGGCTTCTTCCTTCCCTTGCAGATGGGGTTGTGTGTCGTCTTCCTGTACCTGTGCCCCCTTTTGAGTCCCGCTCCTTTTAGGAAAACATTTTTCCAGGAATACTATACTTGTGGCAGAAATATAAAAAGTAGCCACCAGTACTCACTTCCCAGGGAAACACAGGTCTTTTCTTTCCTCCTTGTGTTGAACACTCACAGAAGTGAGGCAGTCGTATTTTCCTTAGGGCACGTGTAACTGAATACAATTATAACGGATGTCCAAGTTTAAAACACGAGTGTGAGTGTAGGTCTGAGGCAGACAATTCCATGTCCCAGGCAGCCTTTGCGTTTGAGACACACCAGGTTGGAGGGAGACGGGCCAAGGTAAACCCTCCTCCACCCTCCTCCCCACTCTGATTCCAGCCTGACATGAACACTGCCATGTTCAAGGCTGACTGCCCTGCAGACTGGCCACTCTGGACAGTTCCCAGAGCCAAGCTGGCCCTCTTTTGGAGATGGTCCTTGGATGGACAAGCAATACCAGCAATGTGCATATTCATCCCTCATTTGATGGGCGATCACTGGGAATAGCCTTTGGAGAAGACAGGGGCCCTGCCTGAGGAACTTGCCTTCTGAGAGACAAACAGCACACGGAAGAGGTGCAGACCATTTGCTGCTGCAGACATACCTGTCCCAGGGGAACACGGAGGCCTCAGGGCCACACTGGCAGGAAGTTCTGTGGCACACATGGCCAGGCTACATGGGCACTGAGAGAATGTCAGGGTTCCTTTTCTCTCATTGCTGAGACAAAACACCCATCACCCAGAATTAAGGAAGGAAAGGTTTATTTAGCTCACAGTTTGTGGAGGTTTCAGTCCGTAATCAGTTGGCTCCAAGGCAGGGAGGCACCTGGCGCAGGGGCAACAGTTCACTGCCAAGGAAAATAGCAAAAGCAGCAAGAGCAAAATGGGGAGGAGCAGAGAGAAGACTTTTTCTGTCCTTTACATTGTATGCAGGCGACCCACCCTAGGGTAGCACTCACACCCATAATCCTAGCACTAGAAAGCGAATCAGTCACAAACTCTAGATTCAGCTGCCCCCATAACTGCATGAGGCTTTGCGGGGACGGTTAGACAGAAGCCATAACAGAGGGCCATGCTGGTAGAAGTGTCGTTCACACTCAGCTGTTCTTTGTTCTTGGGAGTTTCCATGTGGCCAGCACTCAGGGCTGAACTGTCTGACCCATCTGACCCAGGACACCTGCACCTTCCAGCCTGTGGGTTACAGAGAGCGGCCGGGGCTGGCTACATGGGTTGTGGTCTAGGGTGCAGAGGAGACAGTGAGTGGAAATCCAATTGTAACGGAGTACCTACTGTATACCAGGTGTCAGATGAAGGCCCCCAGCCCATACAGTGGGCAGGATGCAGGTGGCATCTTTCCTGCTCACTCCATGGGTCACCACCTCAGATGCATCCCTGTGCCTGGTGCACGCAGGCCTCAGTGGAGCGGGCCAGCCACACCACAGGAGCTGCAACAGCACTTCCGGTGCCCCCAAGTCAGCCCCTCACCCAGGTAGTCCTCATGGTGCTGAGAGAAGTGGGCAAGAGCAAGCTGGGAATGGTGAAGGCCTGGGAGGGGTGGGAAGCGGCTCTGAGAGGAGCTGGCCTCACCCTGGGCCTGGCTCTGTGCTGGAAGAGGCTGGGTGTGACAGACGATAGTGACTTTTCATCCACACCTGGACTACAGTGGACTCCAGGGGAAGGGGCCCTTGCAGCCCTGCGGAGGGGCTGGGGCTGCTGCAGCTTGAGGGGAGCTCTCCAGGGCATGGGGCAGGGCCCTGATCTGCTCATCCTCTGCATCCTGGAAGGCTGGCTGTGGTCACGGGCACTGCGCTGGCTCAGCACAGAGCCTCAGGACCCCAGAAGTCCTGGGTGACAGTGCCATGTGTCCTTCTGATTCTCATCTTTCTCTCCCACACTATGGGTAACTTGCATCTTAATACACGTTCTGAACTAACTATATGTGGATTAAACATTAAGAGGTGCTGACTTTTTCCAGTCCTGTTTTTATGAATTATTTGGTTTTGCCTCACTGGTGGGTGGAATTACAGTTCTCATTAAAAAACTGAAAATGAATGGAATTTTCATTTCTCACTTTGTATGATTAAAACAAACTTTACAAACATTTTAAAAATACCCACAATGAGGAACACGTTTTCCTGCTTGCGCAGGATGCTGCCCGGCCATTTGGGCCACAGCTGCTCATGGGCCGCTGCGCTCGCACCGTCCGCAGAATCCCTGCACGAGCAGCGGAGAAGCGGGCTGAGGCCAGTGGGCAGCTCCAGCTTGTGGTCCTCACTGGGAGAGGCTGGGAAACAGTGGGGATCCTGTTGTGGTTCCGGGTACAGTTGGGTCTGTGGACACAGAAGAGCACCCCGAGTGCGGTTCTCAGGAGCTCTGAAAGCCAGAGCAGCACAGAAGGAAGCATTTACCACCCACAGGGGCTCAGCGAGCTGCTTGGGTGCTGCCCAGCCTGGACCATGGGATCTCCTGCTACAACAGAGTCTCTAGCGCCAGATAAATACAATTGAGTGCTGGTCAGGTATACTCCTGGGCCGGGCGAGGAAGCTCCTGGGAAGCCTCACACTGCCAGCTGAGCCTCCACCCACAAAGCCATTAGTGAGCTCCATGGAAACATAGACCTGCATCCACCTTTTTAACCAACTGACAGCTATGGAAAGTCACATCTACCAGGGAGTGAGAGTTACTTCCCAGCACTCAGAATAAAAGACAGGTACTAACGGTGAGCTGGAAAGACCAGCAGTAGAATATTGTATACACACTGCCATTATTCAGAAGTAACTCCATTTGCAAATATATATCCTGTGTGACGGGAAGAGAGACAGCATGTTTCGTGGAATTTGTTTTCATTTTCTTAGTGTCAGTGCCTGGAGTAAAGGCTAGAGGACTCCTCCTCAGTCCCCTGCTCGGTCAACAGCTGCGTCACCCCTATCTCCTCCGCTTGCCTGGGCCCCGGAGAAAGCCACCCTGGTTACTGTGCTGGTCCCACTGCTCTAATAAAGCTCAGTGCCATGGGCCCTGAGTTCTCTGGCCCCAGGGCTCCTGTCCCATTCGCTCTGGCCCACTGGACATCAAGTGACCTTGTTGGCTGGGAAAGGCCAGGCCTCTCTGCATCCTACAGGTTGAAGTTAGGAGAGGCGGTAACACATTCTCCTAAGGAAAGTACTGGTTCTGGGGTGCAGAGTGGGAAGCCACTGTGGCTTCCTGTCCACCTTGAAAGGAAACAAAACCTCGTCTGCCTCAAACCCAGCCCAACCCTCTAGCTTCCCTGTGGAGGAGGGGTTTGACTCTCTCCTTCTTGGGCTACAGAAATGAGCTACAGCTAAGAGGGACACTCCCGGGATGGGTGCCCTGCAAAGCATGGCCATCTGATCATGTCAGTTTCTCAGGAGCTCAGGAGCCAGTGGAGTAGGGTGGGTGAAGGTCCTCTCCAAAACTGACATCAGGTGTGCAAAACAATGCACTATACTGGGCTTGCTTCATAAGAAGGGAAAGATGAGCTCACTAATTGAGTAACCATTTAGGAACATGTTATTTCTTCTTTTTCATCATAGTAATGCTATGATTATTGCACTGTGATAACATGAATGTTAGCAGTAGTTTGTCTGTAGTTAGATAAATTATTTCTCAAAATCATACAAAAGTGATGGGATCTCAGATTTCAACCTAGGTAGTTAGATTAAATGTAAACTCATAAAATCTTTTATCCAAAAATCATAACCTGAATATACCAGTTAAATCAACTTGTATCTCTGAGTTACATTATCTGTCCTAAGAGGGGGGGTTCACCTGGTCAGCACCCTAATATGACTCTTCAATAAATGATTTTCTTCTGAAAAAAAATGAGATATATACTCTAGGCCATCTTGTTATATATAAAAATAATGTTTCTTTGGAAAAAACACATATAAAGTAAAATT